AAAAAAAAAAACGGAGAAAAGCATTTATCAAATTGTTATAACTCATTCTACACACTGAGCAACAGAAGTATTCTGGCAAAAAGACGGGGAAAAAAAAAAACCAGAAAAAATAGACCAGACTAAAGCGTATAGGGAAAACCAACAAAAGATGAATGCTTTTTTTTCAAAACTTGGCGTAGTTTGATCTGCTTCTAATTGCCGGGTTTTTTTTTTTTTTGAAAGAACATCAACTAGAAGCTGACTGTTAACATCAACTTAGTGATGTTTTTTGATAAAAAGCAAATGTAGTCTTGAAACTATATTAGCATTTGAACATCATAGCAAAAGTTAACTGTATAGGCTGCTACTGCTGTTGCTATCGTTGCTGCTGCTGCTGCTGCTGCTGCTGAAAACAGTTTTACTTCCTGAAGTTTTCATGGTTGATTACAGAATCAGAGAGTTAAGGGAGACTGATATAGGGTGAAGAAGGAAGGTGAACAGAAACAAAACACTTGAGCTCAAACACTTAATCTTGTTTACTGATACAACTATACATTTAAAGTTAAAAAGACAGAAAAATTAGCGGTGTTGGTTGATATTTGAAAAAAAAAATATATATATATATATATAAAAAGAAATCAATGAAAATTTTTTTTGTATCAAAGATTCAGATGCTTTTTTGATTTTTTTGGGATAGTTGATACCTTTAGAAATTAGATTTGGGAAAAAAAGTTTACTTGAAAAATTAGCAGCAATGACGATAACACCACCACCACTGCTTTTTTTGTTTCAAATAATTTTTGTGCAAAAATTTTTTCTCTTCATCTATTTTCTATTTCTCCTCAATTTTTATAATAATTAGCGAAAAAAAAAAGTGGAAAAAAAAATCTTTTTTTTAATGTTTTTTAGTCTCTTAGACTTTATTACTAAAATTGGTTGATTTTCTTTCCCTTTTTTTTTTCCGTTTCTTTCGATATATGTTCAAAATTTTTTGTTCCAACATGTCAACAAATTATGGTAAATTAACAGCATTTTCAACTTATTGTTTCTTTTTTTCTTTTTTCTTATAGCTTTATTAAGTGACTTTTGCAGCAATAATTTATTCTTTTATTTATTTATTTATTTATTTATTTATTTATTTATTTATTTTCATTTTCTTGTCTTAGTCAACTCTTTTTTTAAAAAAAGTTTATAGTTTTGAAAACGAAACGAAATAAAAAAAAACGAAAATGATTTTTTTAAAATACCTTTTAGTTTTTAAAAACTAATTGTTATTGGGATATTGCTGTTAGTTTTATTGCTGTAATTGACAAAAAAGAAAAAAAATGGGGAAATGAAAGGAAAGAAAAGGAAAATGAAAGGTGAGGGTGATTAAAAACATAGTGGAGAAAATTTGCCCAGCAAAAAACTTTATGATGATTCTTTTGAATTCAAGGTGAAGAATTAAATTGTAGCGAGGAGAAAGGAGTAATGAAGCTTTTTTTTTTGCAGTTAAATAGAGACTAAAGTTGGAGGACAAAAAACAAAAAAAAGTGAAGTATCTGTTGAAGGATTAACATAATTAACACCGGTAGAAACCTGCAAAAGATTACATTGACATTTTCACTGTTGTATTTCACTCCCCCTCCGCACCCCCCTTCCCCACCTTCCCTCCATTCTTCGGCAACCCTCAAATTGTTGACAAATTGGTTGATCAGTCATCAAAGTGTTTGGTGACAAACAGATTGTTCGTGAAAATCTGTTAACAGTGGTAATCTAACAGAAAGTATTTGTGGAAACATTCC